GGTCGGCTTCGGATCCGGTGGCGGCTCGTCTTCGCAGGCGGCGCAGCTCCGGGTGGCATGGTGGCGGTGGCGTGGCTGCTTGGCTGCGGGGCGGCGCGGTGGCTGGCGGCGGCGCCCTTCCGGCCCAGATCTGGGCCCTTTTGGGCCCCATCTGGGTCTAGGTGGGCCTGGCGTGTGCTTTCCGGCGTCATCTCCGGCGGACGGAGGTGTGGCTTGGGCTGGGGGTGGCGGAGACGGTGGCGCGTGTACTGCAGCGCAGCGACGGGAGCTTCACGAGCCCGCTTCGGGCTCGGCCGGGCAGGGGTGCCTGGTTTGCTCCTGAGCTACGTCCGGTCGGTCACCGCCGAGGATGGTGGAGGTTGTCCCCTCCCACGTGGCCGCTGACCCTGCTGCTCCTCGTTTTCGGCTGGTTCCTCTCGATCCCGCCGGTCTCGCTTCGCTTGTCACGGTGAGACGGCGATGGTGACTGCGTGTCCGTAGTGGCGCATATTGGTGGACGGCAAGTATGGTGGAGCGCGATGGATCGTCTGGGGTCGTGGTTGGTAGGAGGTTGGGAGAAATCCTTGTCGGCTTGTTCGGCACTGACGCGGTGACGCCCGTGGGCGTCGCCGTGCCTTCCTGAAGGGCGTCGGATATCCCCCTTCCTCCCACGGCCCTTCGCGTACCGGGGGAAACCCTAGGCCATGTCCGGTAGCAGCGTCGTTGTCGTCGCGTTCCTTCTTGAAGGTGTTGCTTGGTATGCGGCGTTTCGTGGTGCTAGGAGCGTGGTGGAACTCTCCGGCGGGCGCAGCGGTGGCGAGTCATCTTCGTTTTTGTTGATCCGCCGTTGTCGGCATTTTTTTTTTCTTTTGGGCGTGCCTGTGCTGCTTCCGCCCCAGCACCTATCGTGGGTTGTATCGATGTTGTTGCTTTGTAATACAAAGCGGGGGGAAACCCTTTTTCGGCAAAAACAAGTGCACTGGACAGATTCCCTCCAATTTTGGTAACTTTACTGGCATGATCCAAGAACAGAAAAATGGAAACAGCACATACTGCTACCTGCCAGCAGAGCAACTTCGTATAGTCTTGAAGAATGAGGGTTATCTTTACAACTACACGATATCGTTCATAGTGGGTATGGACTTATCTAGCAACTTCCTTTCACAAGAGATCCCAAAAGGGCTCACATCACTTGTTGGACTCAGGTACCTCAACTTGTCAAGAAACCATCTCTCAGGTGGTATTCCCAGAGACATTGGCAATCTGGCATTGCTAGAATCCTTGGACCTTTCGGGAAACCAACTATCCGGTGAAATTCCTCCAAGCCTTGCAGATTTGAAGGCCCTCGGCGCCCTGAACCTCTCAAGCAATGGTTTATCGAGGAGGATACCTACAGGCAGCCAGCTGCAGGCACCCCCAGATCCTTCAATATACAGCAATAATCCAGGGTTGTGCGGTTTTCCATTGCAGGACTGTGTAAACCCGTTTGCATCAAACCAAAATCAAATGAGCCAGGGCAAAGATATGGAGACACTCTGGTTGTACTGCTTTGTGGTAGCAGGAGTCATCTTTGGGTTTTGGCTATACTGGGGCATGCTCTTTTGCAACGAGACATGGAGGTGTGTGTTCTATCAATATGTTGACAACATGCAAGACAAGGTAATTACCAAGAAAATAGCTGCATATCGCACCTCCAAGCTAAGGCATAAATGAGGACGTGCATCACAAACTTCTTAAGTCGGTCATTGCCTGTTATATTTTACCTTACTGATCTACATTTCTTACATGACCGGGTGGCACATCTCAAGTTGAAAGTTGTGCAAAAAAATTGTATGTAACTTTAGGCTTCGGAATGTGGGCAGTTGCACATTTCTTAACGTAAAGTTGTGCACAGTTTGTAAAATGTGCAACTATCTGTTACCATTGGATCAAGATTGTAACCGTCCACTTGGATTTACAAATTGTTGCAGAAAATTGCAAATTGCCTGTAATATTTGCCCCTTACTCGCTGAATAAAACTTATTAAACTACAGTTGAACTTTTAGGACTTATAAGCTTCAGTAGGAATGTTACTGTAGTTTAACAAGCTATTCCAAATGTCAGCATCACAAAAATTGCAAACACAAAAGCTTGTTTGCGATAGTGAAGAAATTTGTTAGACATTTTGAATGCTTGCACCTGAATCCATTGAATTTGCCTCTGAAAAGTGATTTTTGTTTTCACTTTTACCAAAAAAAAGAACAAGCAGAGCATTCATGAACCCTGGTCCCATCATGGTTGGTTGAATCTACGTCTCATTTGAAGGATAGCATTATTGTATTGTCGATAAATATGTCTGGTTTTGGCAGCAGATTTTTTTTCTTGAACTTTATTCAATCATCTATTGTGCTGCCTCCCTCTCAAAATATAAGACGTTTTTGTAGGGAGGTAGTACAATGGATTGCTACCCTTATGAAAAGGAGGTAGGTGCCCATTACCCCTGAACTATGGCCTGAGTTTCATATTTGTCTATGGATTCCAAAACTAACTAGAAGGACACCCTCAACTTCCAAAATCGGTCTGCTTTATCCCCCTCTACCCCTAACTGGAACCGGGGTAGTTTTGATTGGTGTGGCACCTAACTGTCATCTTTTGTGTGCTAGTATCATGTCCAAGTGGACAAAAGTCATTGAGTCAGATTTTCAGAAATCATAAAACAAGATCATATAAAATGTGAGAAATCAAAGAGAACTTTTAAAATAAGATACTCATGTTAATGTAAAAAAGGGGTGAAGGTTTGAAAGATCAGGAAAACACTAAATCATTACATAATAATAAAAATAATAAAAACAAAATGTTAAAATTGAATACAGTGGCACATTTGAGATAGCTCAACATTCCCTCTTTGACTAGAAAATTTTAGAGAAGTGTAAATACTGCAAAATTTAGAAGATCAATTTTAGATCTGTCTCGTTATTTCATAAATAATTTACAGGATTTATTTATTCATTTGTACCTATTTTTGTTGTTTTCCCACATTTGTGAAGATTACTAAGTTTCTTGGTAATTTAATTTTCTTGCCACAATTTTCAGGTTGTCCCATTTTCTCTTAAGGTTTTTTACTTGTATTTAAATATTTCGGATTTCCTCCGACAGCGAGTGTGATATTCTCCCATCTCTTAAAAAATCCTTGATGATTTATTGATTCTTTTAGTATCAATGTTTGACCTAATATCCAATCATCAGGTGCTGGCTTTGTCAGATTAGCTCACCAATAGCAACCATGCCCAATTTCACTGGGAAAAAAAATCTAGTGGTTGGACTTTGGTGAATTGCATGCCATATATAAGCTGCAACTGAATTATATAGACTTCAGACCACGACTTATTGCATCTTGTTGTACTTGTACACATCCCACTTTTTCTTGACCTGTTTTTATAAACTATACATGCTCTTCTGATCACTTCACAGTTTGACATGTTCGATTAGATGAGCATGAAATCGCCCCCACAAAATGCAGTGAAACTTAACAGCCAAAGCATCCTTACAGATTAAGCTATTGCAAAGACTTACAAAGTTCATCTTTACAACGGAATCGTTTTTAAAGGGGAATCCTTCACTCATTAACTGAATATTTGTACAGCAGTAATAGTACGATTGTACTAGTGGACTCTTGAGAAGAACAACTGTGGATTAGCGACCCATCCAGCAAAAGTGATGCCATAATTCACATGACCAGGGACTAATCGACGACGTCCTTCCCACTTGCTCCACGCTGTAGTGCACCGAAAGAACAAAACTAGCACATGCATTTGTTTAGCCTTTTGGGGAGGCTGGAAAATATAAATTGTGCAGAGATTTTTTTTTAGCAATAAACCACTCAGTAGGAACTGGCGAAATTCTCTAGACAGAAGTGAGACCTTATGTTTCAGTTCCAAACTTTCAATCGCGACACGTATTTGGTGATCTATAGGACAGAAGTTGGTGGTGATGTGTAAACACAAAATATTTATCAAGAGTAACTGGTGAGCTACTTCTGTGTTAATAAGATATCAACATAAGTAGTGGTCGGTTTCCTTTATCTGACGATGGCAAGAAGATCAAGAAAGATAATCTGGCAACAACCCACATACATCACCATATCCAAACATGCATCAAGAGAGGCGCAAGAGGTAATATTCCCCTGACTGTTTTATACAATAGTTGTTTCCATTTTAGAACAACTAGAAGCTGAAGTAAAAGCGCAATTTGGCATGCTAAAAATGGTGGAAATTGAGCATAAAGCGATCTTGTTTCCTTTGGTTGTTCAGGCAATGAGTTAAGTGAAGTTGAAGCATGCATCAATCATTTCGAGATGACAGATTGTTGACAAATGACAACGAACAAGAAAAATAAAGAACTGGTAAACTGGCTGTGTCTTGTCTGTTATGCTTATTGACATTTTGATCGAGAACAAAATGAATGGTAACACAACCAGCAAACAATGATAATCAAGAAGGTGATAACCTACCTACATCTACATGCACGTGTAGTTGGATTACGCATGAAGAAGACAGGAGATGGCCGGTGCCGACAGACTGAAAATTAGCCAGGGAACTTCTACTCCAAGGAATGAACAAAAAGACCGGTGTGCTACCGGTAGCGCTTTAGAAACACTTGCCGACAACCAGTGGCGGAGCTAGCCGAAAATCACTGG